GGGGTGGGCCGTGCCGGGGCCCATAGCGGGCTCAGGGGTGGGGGGGCGTCGGGGCCTATAGCGGCCTCAAGTACGTGAGGGGCCGGGGCCGGGGCCTGGGCCTGGGCCTGGGCCTGGGCCTGGGCCTGTAGCAGCAGCCTCAGGTGTGCGAGGGGCGGTGTCGGGGCCCAGTAGAAAGGCAGCTCTGAGCCTTTAAGTACCTGCTGTCAGGGTTGGGGGAGCCTTGACAACGACTGTGTGTCCTGCGGCAGGTCACAGCAGGAAGAGATTCCTAGTAACCACAAAAAAAGAGAAGGTCTGACTTAACAGCGGTGTGCCTTAAGGAGGAAGGGCCTCGAAGGAGAAGAACGAGGTTTAGCAGTGGTTAAGAGGTCTGGATTAGGAAGAGCTCAGAGCAGAGACAGGGTAAGGTGATTTAATGCTGTTTCTGCCACGCTTTGTGGCCTGTAATCCCATAAAATAACGTATGAGGGAGATGAAGAATGACCCTTTGACAGTGCCTGTTGCTCTGTCAGCCAGAGCCCTCTATCACGTCTGGTACGTTCATGAACGAGGTGCCAGAACCAAACCTCTCATCCTTGGTAAGGATCTACAGCGTTCTGGTCAGTGTGGGGCTCTCCGTGGCTGCACACAAGTAAACCGAGCACGGAAGTCCTTTATGGTGACTTAGACATCTAAGGATTTTTCTTTCAGTTAAAACTTTTTGTTTTTTCTTTGGTGTGTTGAATTTTATCTCAATACGTGTAAGCCTCTGAATCTAGAGGCAAACGCTTTTTTTTATCACTGCAGAGGCTCACAGTGGCTTATTCTTTGATGTTTTGTTTGGGGTTTTTTAATTACTTTTTTGCTAAACAAAACTGAAGGAGCAGAGCTTTATCTTCTGCCAGTACCTCATGGAACGTCATTCTACTAACTTGTTTCTGACAGCTATTCTCCTCCTGGGCTTGCTTCTAGGACCATCATCATATAGCCCTTTGAAACTAAAGGTACAGAAACTTGAAAGCCATGTGTTTCAAGCTAAGGGTGTTGGTATGCATTCTGTTCTTCAAAGGCCAAGGTACTCTATTACAGGTTTTCTCATTGCAGTCACCTAATTCCTACAATAAATGTGTTGCCATGATCTTTGTTTATAAGCTGAGCTTCATAACCTTTTTTTCTTTATTTCTTACAAATGGAAAGAAAAACGTAATGAGCATGACTTGTGTGTCAGCTACTCTGTGAATAGCTGATGCTGACAAAGCAGGAGGCAGAAATCTTTCTTCAAACTGAGTGAATGTATATAAAACAATAAATGAGTCGTGATGAGAAAAACAGCTTTGATGAAAACGTGAGCCAAGAACAATAGCTTGCCAGAGAAGTTTAAACTTTCCCTGATAGCTCGTTGGGGCGTAGACAGTTAAGTTTCTGCGTTTGTAAGGGAAACATGGCATTCCTTAAAGCTGAACCTCCTCCCTTGGGTTCCCACTGAATGCCTGAGAGATGACAGTAGAGGGTGTCTCCAGAAGGCTAAGATTAAACATGAGGAATTAGTGAGGAGGGAGCAACAGCAAGTGAGATTCCAGTTTTGACCACAGAATGAGCTAAAAAATTTCGCATTAGCAGCTGTATGCAGTTTCTTACTCCCTGGCCGCGCACAGCTCCTTCTGTTCAAAGGGTTCTTGTGTGCCCTCGTAGTAGTAAATGCACCTGCCCTTCGTGCGATGTGTGAGAGACGGGCTGCTCTGAAGGAGTAAATGGGCTTCAGACAAACAGAACGCGCTGAGGCGGTGTAACGCAGGATAAATTAGCCTTGGAAGGGCAGCCTTGGTTCAGACACACCTGGCAACTAGTTTGCTATCCACAGCGGTATGAACCAGGCTTGCAGGGGAGCTGGCGGGTTAAATATGTGGACAGATGGAAGAGATGCAGGCAGGAAATGGGGAAGAAAGGGGGGAAGTAGTGTTTATAAAGCTTTAAGGGGGCTCTGGTTAGTTCTGAGAAAGGGCTTTAGCCAGTCCCATCTCTATTTTTAACTCTGCGACTGTATGACTTGGGGAAAGTTATTTGAACAACTCGAGCCAGGTGCAAGTCTGCGGGGAAAGGACAAACCCATCGGGCGCTGGGTGCAGCGTGGGCACCCAGTCAGCTCACGCGATGTGGCAGCCGCCACCACACCCTTTCCTGTTCGCCCTGTGGCCACGGGCAGCCCTGCCAGCTACCGCTGCCCTGAGCAAGGAGGAAGGTAACAGGATTGCTTTCCAAGATGCTGATAACCCCTAGCGCCCGGCATTACTTGGCAACAGAGAGGTTGGCGAGCAGCTCTAGCCTTGTATCTCCATGTGCCAAGCCAAATGCCCTCAAATGGGACGTTGAGCTCCGGGAACTGCTCTCGGTAGTGTTGACTTTTTAGCTGTGTCTCAGCCTCATCTCCTGTAAACGGTAATATTTACTTGTGTTAAAAGGTATCGGGCGTACTTTGCATGGGTGTTCGGAAGTAAAAGTTGTCCGTCAGGGCAAACAGATCTTTGGGGTGAGCTACAGGGAAGCAAAGTGCATACGCTGCATTATTACAATTCTTTTCAGAACAAAGAGTGTGACCTGGTGCTCCTCTCGGCTGCTGAATGCCCGGTTCAACGAGTTTGAAAAAGCGCTTCGAAGCTTTTGATAAAGCCTATTCTGCTTCTTTTCTCTTGGCGAGATGTTTATGGTATCTCAGTGAGTCAATAGGTTGTGCATTTGAGGAATGCACCTCACAACTGTTAAGGTCAGTGTTTAGTATGGCTCTGCTGGAGGCAGTGAGACTAATTAGTTCTTCCCAGGTGACTTACGGTTGCAGAAAAGGGCTAAATGAGATATTTAGCCTGAAGTATCAGTGGGAGGCGTTTTCATACGGAGTGGGATCCTGTATTTAATGGTTCCTGCACGTGAATCTCACTGCAGGATCTAGATCTTGGTCCGTAATTTTGTAGCAGTGTCTAGTCGGGAGGATAACCTCTATCCGGCAGATGCGAGACGTTCATAATGGCTCTGGATGCTTGTTCTATGAAAGCTGCCATTTACTGGCACGAAGCGACTGCTTCGCCTGGGTGAATGCGAGATCGCAGTACTGCAGTGGTGCCTTGAGAGCACAGAGCCACAAGGAAGTAATTTCTGCATTAAAAAAACATAATAAAATTGGAAAGAGTAGTGTAAGTGTCACAAGCAGCCCGTTCCCACCGCGGCACGGTCCTGCTCCTCGCCTGGTGGGCGGCAGCACTGCTGCGTGTCTGTGCCCTGCGATACAGGCGGTTCATGGCAGACGGGGTCATCCCGGCGGCAAAAAGTGAGAACGCGGGTTTCTGGAGGTCCAGGCAAAGCCCCCTGTCCCCCCGTAGACCCCTTGAAGAGTAAAGCCTGGCAGGGAGAGCCCGCCGTTTAAGCCTTGGCCCACGCTGGCGGCGGGGCCGGGACTCGAACCCGCGACCCACC